AAAAAGGGATAAATATGTCAACATTAGCCTATTTTTTTAATTTAAAAAAACGTCAACTATTTTTTTAATTTTAATTTTTTGTGGCCTATTTTTATAATTTTCCCGAAAAGGGGAAATAGCTAGATCGGCACCATCCAATGGATCCTAACCGTTGGATGAAGATTTTTTTTATTCTCACACTAAAAAGAGTTAAACGCCTTAACAATCACAGTAAAAAAATGGTTCATTGTTTTTGGACTTATTAGCTTATTTTTAGATGAAAAATCCGATTTTAATTGGATAAAAATTTAATATTGAATCCGAACATTATTCAATCTAATATTTACATATGCAGTGTGTTCGTGACAAAAAAAAAATCACTCTTAGCCACAGATTAAAATTTGGTTCGAATGTATGTATTTCTTCTGAATTTGATTATAGACAAGGCTATTTCCTTGTAATTATCTCTTAAGAGGAAAAATTAGGATTTCAAATTAAAGTATATCAAGAGCTACCAGAGAACTTTTTTTTAACAAGGATCATGATCTTTTAAGAGAGATTAACCAAGAACATGAAGAGTGAAGATTATCTTGAAGTAATCACATAAGGATTTATTAAAGAAAAAATTCCAATAGAAACCAAAAAAAAGGTTAAATTAAAAAATGAAGAAAAGAAATCCAGTAACATAACTATCTCAAAGTGTTTTGCTCCATAGATTTTTAATTGAACAAGGACTATAAAACATAATTCATCCTAATCAATAAAACTAGAATTGATAAAAGATCAAAATATTGAAACAAGAACAAAACTTGATCAGTTGATCTAGATCTAGACTTGAATTCCACACGAGTCTATATATACACAAATAGACAGTATAGACCTAATTTCCGAAAGCCTCTGTCTAATTTTCTCCAATTCCAGAGCAATGTTCTTCGGATTCTCAGTCTTCGTCACATTCACCGGAGGCTCTATGATCTTATTGACATATCCATGCAAGAATCTATGCCTCAACAATGTCAATGCGTCTTTCCTCTCTTCTACCTCCAATGCGAAGCAAGCCATGACAAAGAGTCTTGCATCACAAGGAAGATCTCTCGGAATAAGTGGCGTGTAGCCGTTCTTGAGATACTTCAAGTAGTAGTTTTTATGCCACCATGGTCTCTTCCCAGTGTACATCTCCAACACAACACATCCCAACGACCATAAATCAAGTCCGGTCCTTGTCTCGCCGTAAGAAACCGATTCAGGAGACATATAGATCGGTGTTCCCGCAAACGGACGATGAGGTTGCCACCAGTTACTGTCTCCGTCTCTTTTCGACATCCCGAAATCAGAAATCTTCAATTCATAAGACGCTTTTGACTTGCCGTTCTTGTAGACACAACTCGGGAAAACAAGGATGTTTCCCGGTTTGAGATCGCAGTGAACATAGCCTTGTCCGTGAATCGTGGCTAAACCCTCGAGGAGCATACGAGTAAAGTCTCTGATCATCGGATCAGGCAACTTCCTGTCTTTGAATCTGTCCATGAAACTCCTCAAGCTTCCTCCAGATGCGTACTCCATAGGAATCTTGAACTCTACGTGACCATCGTCGTTGAATATCTCTTTCACTCTGGTTCCATAACACTGGACGATTCTCGAACATCCTTTGAATTCAGACAGGATCTGAAACTCGTTGTAGAGAGACGGTGCGTGTTTCTGGTCGGAGGTTTTCACGGCGGCTTAAAGAGTCTTGCCGCTGCGTCGTCCTTTGTACTTGAAGAGACTAACCGAACTAAATGAACCTTCTCCTAAAAACTTTTCAAAGTACAAATCTGGCTCTGCCATTGCTATAGAACTACGATTGATTCTTCTGATAACTTAGGCACCAAGCTTGTAAACAAAACCCTAAGTGAAAGTGAATAACGTGAAATCTGAAAACTCGCAATAACTTGGGGAAGTCTTAACGAATATATATAGCAAATTAATGCGTCCCAGTTTCC